AGCTGGAGGATCATGCATCATCAGCTCCCGCCCGGTTGAGCCCTCAGAAGCCCACGCCGCTCCAAAGACAAATCTAAAGCTTCATTCATTCTGTCATGCTGAGGACTCGCAGTAGTGCAGACCGCCGAGGCCCACCGCGGTCTGAGTTTGAGAAAAATGTTCATGCAGGGAAATCAAATATTTCATAGAAGGCGGGGCAGGCCAAGGCGGGGGAGGTGTTGGGTTTCTGAGCCTTGGCAATCCAGACATCCTGGTGGATGGCCCTTGAGGACATTCTCTGGAAGCAGAAGATGGAATCTCGCATCAAGACCGTTGAGGCTCCATGGGATGCAACGTGCTCTCTCCTTTCTGGAGTGGTGCAGCTGTATGCTACTACGTTGCTGCACTGGCATGCTCCACTTCTGTGTTGCCGACTGGCTTGACCAATCATCGTCTTGTCTTGCAGATGGCGTAAAGCTAAAGCAGGAAGCAGTGTTCTCCACCCTTTCTAGCATGAAGTCAGACAAGTGAACCCGCTGAAAACAAAACGGAGGAGAAGGAATTTGACAGGACCCCTCTAGTCATGGCCAAGGAGCAGGAATTAGCTTGCCTTGGAGACCAGGGCTTCAGCCTTTGATTGCGGCTTTAGACATGCGTACTTCCAGCAGCGGCGCCAGGGCAATCCTTTTAGAACAGATTATCTAGATGAGAATCCTTTGTTTCGCTCAAGCGTGCTCCTCGGACTGGTAAACTCCATCGCAGGCTAAATGCAGGCTCGAGACTGATAGCAGACAAGTACCATGAAGGCAATGTGAAAAGGACTTTGAAGATTTCCTTTGGCTCATGCTGTCCTGCGGCGGTAAAAATGTTGTGCACTCTTGTGCTTTTTGGGGTTCAGGAGAATTTCGCACGCCTGATGCAAGGACGGCGCAGTCATGGCATGTATGAAGATGTTTGGAAGTGAGGTAGGTGTCTGCCTAGCGGACCATCAGCCCAGCTGCCTGCCACGCTGTCATGTGCGTGCCCGTTTTGCGCAATCAATGCAGGACAAAGCCATCGCGGCAAGACCAGGTGCAGGCCAAGCAGGCCTAGCGCGACAAAAACTCGCGTGGCGTTGAACTGTAGCTAGCTTGGCTCCTGCATATTTTAGCTGGCAGGCCACGCAGAATTGTTGTACGGTGTTTTGGGTAACTATCATTTTTGCAGTATGAATATCAAGATTACGTATCATCATGGCCATAATACTGATAATATACTCATGCGAGTTGGTGCTCATTGGCCGCACCGCATATGACAATACCACAACACTTTTGTCCTAGGGGTCGGGCTCTTGCGTGGGGTGTCTTTGCAATCGATTCCGAATGGTCCTGGAGAGCTCTTGGTGCTGTCATAGTCATATACCTACCCCTTTCAACCTTCAACCGTGTAGCAACCCAGCTTGCCCCCTCAAGACCCTCCAAGCAGTGTCTGTACCCTGCAGTTCAAGTGATGGAAGGTGGGCCTTACATAACTGGGGAATTGGCCAGGGCAAGCTCACCAGTACAAACATGTCTGGTGCAAACTGGAGGTCTCTCAGCGTCACATGGTGACTGCTTTTAGACATGTACTGACAACAGCGGCGCAGGGGTAAGCCTCTTGGAACAGAGCGTCTNNCTGCCTTGGATTGTGGCCTTTAGACTGTAGACATATTAGCGGCGCGAGCATAAGCCTCTTGGAACAGAGCGTCTACCTGGGTGAGAATCCTGCGTTTCGCTTAATGCACGCCGCGCACAGTACTTGCTCAATGTCATGCTCCTCGGAATTGGAGTGTAAATTGGGTGGTAAATTGCATCCCAGGCTACATACAGGCTCAAGACCGATAGCAAACAACTACTATGAAGGAAAGATGGAAAGGATTTTGAGAAGAGAATAAAAATTGCCTGAACTCGCTGAACTGGAAAAAATGGAAGTAGCGGTCTAGTGGAGATGGCTGCCTTCAGATGTTGCTATGGCGTCAGAATTGTGTGACGTTGTTGCGCTGGGGAGCACACCAAGGGCTGCGTGTCGTACCACGGTTGGAAAGAAAGCCGACAATGCGCCTACATAACGTAGGTCAGAGCATCCTGGTTGCTTCTCGACCGCTTAAATGGGGGGTAACATGAGCTAAAGCTATTTTTGTTTAGTTCGTTTGTCGGGGGCTTTTGGAGGTCACATGCCATTTTAATATTTTCGCAGGGATCACATCTCACTTGCACCGTACAAGGCTCGCGCCTATCTTAGTAACTTTGTAGGTATGTAGGCTAGCGAACCCAACAAGGTCTGGCACTCAACTAGCTCCAGCGTTGCTATCCGGTTGCTCGCCCGATGTTTGCTCATGTTTGCTCGACCGCTCAACTTGCTCGCCCAAACTTCTGCCTGGGTGAGGTTGATTTTTCTAATTCGTAGCGGCTGGAATCCAAACTGCCTCTGTTCACGTTTTCTGTGCTCTTTCGGCTGACGCAAAAACAAGGAAATCTACTCTTCAAATCTGCCTCGAATTCCTTTGAACAGGCCAGATTTCAATCAAAACGTGATATGACCGAAAAACCAACCCTGAAAACGGTTTTCTGGGAATCCTGAAGGTCTGGGCCAAGGTTTTGTGGGCTCCCCACGTTCGGAATACACGGTGATTTTAGCACCATTCCGAAAATGAGATCGAAACATCAATCCAAACTGCAGATTTTGCACTTAGGCCAGCCAAAGATTGCAAGAAGCTCTGGCATCCTTTCTTGTTGCACAGAAATGCAGTGGGAAAATCCTCGACACCGAGCCCTTATTCCTCACTAAACCCTAAATGGGAATTTCTGGCAATTCCGGACCCATTTCTGGGGGGTCCCCAGAAATAAGGATAGTGTTGGGGGTCTATATCGACCCCCTTTTTTCTGAACACATGCAAATACCCCAGCCAAAACACAGGCCAAGCTGGAACAGATCACCTCAGCAAAGGGCAACACAATTTAGCAGAAAAGGAAATGGTTCTGACCCATTTTTACACCCCTCCCCCCACCCCAATCAACCCCAAGCGGGAAAATCCTCGACACGCACACAGGCAAAGCTGGAGTCGCTGGAGCACATAACAAAGGGCGCCGGCAAGAACAGCTTTGCAAGGGCAACCTCGGCAACCTCGACGAATTCAGTGCAGTAATTGTCCTGGCATGTCTTGCAGTTCAGTCTTCGTGAAGCTGTGCAAGTCACCAGGCCAGGGAGGTTACACCTCTGACTTGATGACTGGAAAGGGCAAGATGACCAGCACCTCGACGAATTCAGTGCAGCAGTTGTCTTGCCATGTCTTAGAGTTCAGTCTATGTGTATATATTTGTCGGGTGTATGTGTTTGTGTATGTATAGCCTCATGCACTAGTAGCAGTGCTGAAAAGATGTAATCTTGCCAATGGTTCCAAGTTCAATCCAGGATTACTGTACCAGCCTTTGTGACAATTTGAGACCAGCCGAAGCTAAGGCTCATTATTTTGGACATAGGGGGAAGGGGCACGTTCGAGGCTTGTGTCAATATGTACAATCAACGTAGTTTGGCCTGCAAAACAAACGAGTTCCCAAACCTGTTCCGAGATCTTCGTGAAAGAGTAGGGCTTTCACATTCGCAGTGATCCGCCGCCGATAGTTCCCAAATGTATGTGCTCGACTGACTTTTTCGGCATGTGCCTGAAATTGCCTGACGCTTTGGAATCAAATCTGGGCGGGAGCACGTTATCCTTCCTACTTGGAAAGAAGAGTTGCGCAACAAAAGTAACAAAAGCATGATTTTGGACCCTCTTGAAGCCTGCAAGGAAGCGACTGAGCCTTTTGTAGAAAAAAGCTAGTGAAGAGGACGGGGATCTGCAGCGAGCAAAAAACATCGATGCACCTGCGAGTGCGATTGCAGGGAGAAGGCTAGCGTCGCAAGTTGTACCAAGAATGTGTGGACCAGAGGCGACATAGTGATTGAAGACATTCCAGGCGCCTTCCGTCACAAGGGTTATGTTGGCTTCATTTATCCATAAGAGAGCTGATAACCCGCAACAGTTGGAGTTCAGCAGGCCTCCGTAGTGAAAGCACATGCTGCCAGCTTGGCCATGATCTGGAAGGTGCCTTGGGAAAATCATGATGGCGGTTTCTTCCGCTGATGATTTTGCAAGGGCAAGGACTCCGTTTGCAAATGTGTTGTGTTTAATTATGTCACTGCTGATTGGCACACATCCAGTGTTATTATGCGGGTTCCTGATGTTTCGACAGATCCAGTCCCTTCACCTGAGCTACGTCTTCTTGAACTGGCTAAGAACCCGTATAAGCCATATAATATTCCCAATTAATTTGCCTGTGCTTAGAGAGTAATGTGTTCTTCGTAGCCGCTACAGAATCCCCGGTCCGCCATACCTGCCACAAAAATACGCTGATGTTGCGGATTCTCGTGGTGTTCACTTGTGTTGTCTTCTGAACATACGTTGTGTGGGTCTGGAACGATGCTCAGCATCAACATGCCAACAAAGCTGATGGCCCAGAAGGCCTTCATGGCAAATGGCCACCGTTTCTGATTCAGTGTGTTCGGAGTTTGTGAGACACTGTTTGCGCTCGTAGCGTGTTTTGCCGGCCCAAGGTGCTGACGTTGAAAGCGTGCATGCCGCTGGCCTATCCTGGACCTCCCGGATGCCTTTAATTGTGGCCTTTATACCGTATTTATACGAGTTACTTAAAGATAGTTGCGGCAAAAGGCCATTGCTTCAGGGATTTGGGAGGTCGAGGATTGCATCCTGTTGCATTGCGCCAGTTTTGGCTCGAGCACTGTAGCCATGGCGGGAAGTGCTTTTTTTTTGTTGTTTGTTGGTTTGGTCGTGGGTGTCCAAAGCGAGATATCCAATCAATCCGCGTTGCTGGATACGGTCAATGCTTCTGAGCGTGCGGGTGGCCAACCTTTAGTGGTGGGACCCTCAAGGCAGCTTATGTTGCGTTTTGTGCAGGGAACACATACAGTACACATACCAGATATCACGAAAAAATTGAAGCAAGATGCGCTACAATTCTCATGTGTGTTTGCGTAGGCAAAGATATCATAAACAATGGTGTTGGTGGCCCGAGGTCGTCACCTACAACCTGTACTGGTGGTGCGTGTCGGATGAATATGGGAATTGTCCGCAATTCAAAGATGGCAAAGGGTTCCAGCAATTGTATGCCCGAATACAGCAGAACGGTCCGTTTGACCTGATTGGCTTCCAAGAGTGCGATGACGTGGGCCGCCTGACTTGGAAGTTGTGGCGTTGGAATACGTAGTTGCTGGTCAGGTTCGTTTTAGCGCTTATAAGCGGACGCTTGATGGTTAGCAGGCAAGATCATCAGCGGCACATCGTTGGCCACCAGCTTCGAGTATTACACACCCACCAAAGGCCTTGATCTGTGTTTGGAACTGTGAAGTTGATGGATGGCCCAGTTGCTGGGGAAATCCGTAGGTAACGATGCCCCGATGGCTTGGTCGCATACCAAGTTTCGTGCCATCGATGGACCTGGAACGGTGTGGATAGCGAAGTCTTTTGGCTTTGACGTAAGCAGCCGTGAATGCGTGTCATTCGTGAATCAGCAACATGTTACAACAACTGTCAGGGACAAATATGGCAACCGCAACATGAACTGGGTTCGGCTGCAGGCACGAGTTTTCAGCAGTGGTGTCAGCCCAATTCTCTTTTCCTGCGCAGGTCATTGGAAGCAGCTCCATTATTTTCTTCGCGAACACGCCGCTTCAGATGCAACAAACTTGACAATGCTTGTGTGCGTTTTCTTTTTAGCAGCTGCGGTATGAGGTGCATGAATTCAATCCTGACAATCGTTTCAGGCACGGACCACTGGACCAGTGTGGGGGATCCCCTGGTGAAACTGTGGCTTCAAATTACGCCACCTGTCTGCCTGCAAAAGCTGTATCCACTTTGCTGGGATGAGCCAAGCATGTTCCTCACATGTGCGGCAGCTTCGGCTAAGATCAATGCGGTCTACAGCCATAAGCAGCCAAATGATCCTGAGAAGCACTGACGCGACAATGGCGTACTTGATCAAGGAATTGGCGATTCGGCCTTAAACAGTAGGTGTTGCTGAGGATATGGTGGTTTTCACGGGCGACTTCAATTGTGGTAGCAATCAGGACACGATCAAAAAGTTGGCGGAGGCACCATTTGGGTTTGGAAAGACTGGTTGCATGATGACATCACATTGTCGCTGCTTCCTCTAGGCGTTTGAGCTCGACGTCAGAAGCTCGAGTGTTTGGAACTCCGTATGCGCATGAACATGTCATCGTCCGAATAATGAGGCCACAGACAGCTCGTACAACGGGGCTGACCACATATTCAGCAGTGGGGGCGTCAAGATCTTGTGGAAGGGCTCGAGAATCTCGGTTGGCAAGCTTCACGTATTCAAATTGGGTCAGTGCTGCGCGAAGGCGTATGCATTCGCTGTGGATGCAGCAGTCAAAGTCAAACAGAGCTGTCAAGCCAGGGGGGCGGGGTGGGAGGAACAAGGGTGTGTGCAAGAGGCAATGAGCAAATATGGAAACGGGCGGGATGTGGAAGGCAATGTTCAGACACCAACTTAGTTGAACTTATCAAACGGAGGGACCACGGTTGCCTCTGTCTACCCATACTCTGATAGCAGAATCACGTTTCATACTATATATAATCCAGCAGAAGAGCTTCAATCAGAAACCGTTCAGCGAGTGCAGGCAAGTGAGGCAAGTGGCCGACCATGCCTACATCTTCAAGACAAGGAAAACCAGGATTCGTTTGGTCCTCTAAGTCTCACAACACAGTTGCGGTCTGTCTGCCCAAGACCAAGTGAGATCATAGTCTGTTGGCACAAAAATGCACCAATTGTGCGGCAAATTCGCAAGGATTGGGTATAAAAAGCTGTCTTGCTTTTATGCTGAGGAGACACGCAACAAGACAAGGGGACAACCCTCAAGTGTTTATGCCCACGCGAAGGTAAACCCGGTTTTGGTTGCCAGGACTGGAATTCTGAATCCAACCTCTACTACCCCAATATACCATAGTAGTTGGCAATTTCTTTTCCATTCTCCCAATGTATCCCAATATACCCCCAACCAATTTTACCCCAATATACTGTAGTAGTTTCTTCCCATATAACTCCCTGTCATATACCCTATGAAGTATAGTAGTTTCCATTTCATTGTCCATTATCCTGATATAACCCCTATATAACTCAGGTGTTGGGGCGCCTTCGGACCACCAGCTCCTCAAGGCAATGTGATTGATGCAGTACAGCTTGACAAGTTTGGGCACACCGTCTTGAAATGGGAATGCTGCAAATCCTTCAAGATAATTTGAGAATATCATAACATGCAGTTTAAGCTACCCCAACCTTGGCATGTTGTACATTGTCTATCTCCCTAAACCCTGCACCCTAAACCCTAAACCCTAAACCCCTAAACCCCTAAACCCTAAACCCCTAAACCCCTAAACCCTAAACCCCTAAACCCTAAACACTCCCTCTGTTTCCAGGCAGTTCTGGAGTCCTCGGCACCGAGTCCCCCGAGCCCCCCGAGCCCTCCAACGGGCTGCCCGGTGCCGCCGGACAATGGGTGCTCAGCAGTTAAGAAGTCAGTTAGGGTTTAGGTTTGGGGTTTAGGGGTTTCGGGTTAGGAGTTTAGGGTTCAGGATTTGGGGTTTAGGATTAAGGGTTCAGGATTCAGGGATCGGGTTTGGGGTTCAGGGTTTCAGATTGCGGGTGTACACGGTCTTAACTAGGTTTTTGTTGTTTCACATGTGAACTTCCATAAATCAGCATCCCCATACTATACACCAAACATGATATGATCCTTCTTCCTACAATGGCTCCCAAGAAAGGACCCTCAATTGTTGGAAACTTCCATATTTGCAGCAGGAATAGGGCTTGTGTAATTCGTAGGAGTGGACTAGACTATGCCCGTGTACTTGTAAGGATAAGGTTCAGGTGTTGGAGTCATCTTGAAGGGTCTAACTACCTAGTGGAGTCATCAGTAACAGCATCGCACTTCAAAGACTAGCAGCAACATTGAGAGTGACGCCCCGGCCAATCTGATGGCAGCATCTGCTGTGAATGTGGTACAAAAAAGCAATAAAGGAAGATGAGAGCACTCCAGATTTGAGATTTGTGGCTTCTTCCTTAATGTCTTCATTGGGTGCCTGGTGGTTCAGCTTCAGTTGGTCAAGTTGATCTCGTGCGAGCATGTCAAGCGCGAGGGCGGGTGGGAGATTAGGATCAGGGGAGAGTCCATCCTGTGTGCTCAGACTTTGCAAGCATCTGTGCCTTGTAGGGTGCGGGCTCTTCCTGGAAGAGGGGATTGGGCCAGGGCCAGGTCCATGCAAAGCTATCAAACTTTCAAGAGGACTGCTGCTGAGTCTTTTGAGTTTATGCTTAGATGATGATAGACATCAGATTCAACATTTCTTGGACGCCCGGTGTAGATAGCAATAGTTATCATATTAACAGAGTCAAGGTATCTTGATGCTGTAAAGTTCTGTAAAAGAAGCATGCTAAAAGCTACATACCCCCTGCATGAGTGCAACGCATGATCGAGCCCTACATCCAGGGGTTGCTGCATCAGCTGCAGAGCCTTGGCAGCAAAGTCTTTGAGGCCACCTGCGGTTGGTCAGTGTAGGTACGCACAAATCATTGTTTGTGCCATTCCCTTATACTCCTTGCATCATGCTACAGTAGTCAACCCCAACACTCCTATGCCATTTGCATTTTTGTAGATGTGAGGTGTTCTGTAGAGATAGCACGGAGATTAGGCGTGGGTCGGACATGGGGGGCTCGCAAATCTTTCTGCAAGGAGGTATTTTGGTTTAGGTGTTTGCCATAGTGATGGCCGTGGGGCTGTGGCGTGCTTCAGACCTCCGAGCCTGTAGCGTCTATTGTAGCGTTTCTTTCATAGCCTTTTCCAGCTGCATAAAACGAAGCCACTGCACGCAGTAGTCCTAGTGGATAATTGGAAGGCATTTTGGATATTGCCACGATGATGGTACGGCTGCCAGCCCAGGCACCAACCACTATTGCCCAAGCAACAAGGCCTGGCTGTGTTGCAGTTTGGCATATCCCATGTTCATCCCTAGCCACACAGCAGACAGCAAAGGGCCATGTGCAGCCGACCGTCCATGCCAGGGTTGCTATTCCACGGGTGAAAGTGGCTGTGCCGGTGGCTATTGTCCTGCACCGGCTGTAGCATCTCAGCAGGCATGGGAATGCTTTTTTTGGATGCTGCCAAAGTTTGTACTTGTCATGGACATGTCCTGACATCTGAGGAAGAGGTTCTCGTTTGATTGTACGCCGTGCCTGGGCTGTCACTTGTGTTGCATGTTTTGCTCAACTGGCTCTGCCTTCAAGTGCAAAGATATCGGACAGTGGACGGTAGAATTGCAGCTTTTTGGCCAACCCATCTGTGGGGCGCTTGGCTTACCTGATGGGTCGAAGGCACTGTGGCCAGGTTGCAAGAAAAGGTGTGTCCGCCAGTTCGCTGGCTTTGTCATGGGAGTTGGCACAGCAGGGCACGGCACCTTCACGTGGATGAGACTGTGAAGTAGCTGGTTCCTCAGCCTGAGGTATGATAGAAAGTAGAAGAAGACAGCTTCAACAGCAGACGCCACAAAAGCGGGATTTACCCGACTGCACAAGCTTGCTACGCTATACGCGCTCGACCAGCCAAAAAACCCTCAGCACCAAAGCCCTAAGCCACTTATGTCAAACCCAGAAATTGCAGAGCTAGCAGCCTTGCAGCGAAATGCATGCCCTGCGCTTTAGCCCTCCAACGTGCGGGCCCCAGGAACTTCCTTCAGGAGGCTAATGTATTAAGTTATAGTATATTATATTTCACAGTACTACTGTTATTCCTATTAGTACTATTTTTACTGATGGGCCCATCAATGAGCTCGCTGGCTTTGCAGTGTCCGTTTGGTGCTGTCAAGTTTGCGTTGGGCCCATGGGCTGGCAAGACCTTGCATTGATGGGCCCATTGCTTTGTATTTGGATTTTATTTGGACTTCTTGGACTGCATGTGGTCCACAAGTACAAGGACCACGACTATGACATGGGCTGAAATTATTCCTCCGCCTCCTACCTCTTCTCCTTCACCTACACCTACTCCTATCCCTGCCCTAACTACTACCCTTTCTGCTGCTTCTACTGGGAGGAGCATTGCTGCGGCTTGTGAAAATCAGTAATAATAGTAATAGAATATTAATAGTAATGATAGTAGTAATAATACTGGAAATAGTAGTAATAATCGTCATAATAGTAACAATAGTAGTAATAATATGTAATAATCATAGCAATAGTATTGTTGAGATTGTTTTGATGCTTGCGAGGCGTAGCCGGCCTCGCAAGAGCAGCCAGGGAGAGCAGGTTCCCAGTAGCTCTGGGAAATGGAGATATGTTCATATTATAGCATAGGGTATCATACGATGTTAATAAGTATACATGGTTCGTGGGGTTTCTATGGAGAGACCCAAATAAAGTTCAATCCCTGTCGCTAGAACCCCAAAATCGCAAACCGCCATGCGTGTGTTTGTGCGCGTGTCTGTATATATATATCTATATCTCTCTCTCTCTCTCTCTCTTTCTCTCTCTCTCTCTCTCTCTCTCTATGCATACATCTCGTGGTATGCCCCGATAAAAGGCGCGTATCGACTCCGAGGCTACGGGCACATGCCCTTGACCCCCACATGAGAGTTTCTCAAACATAGGCCCTGCAGAGATAGTGCGGACATTGCGGGATGATAAGAAGATGGGGGTTTTCCGGAGGAAGTGTAGAAGGACTATCTTTGGAGACTCCCAGGTTCATGGTGACTTTCCATGAAAAAGAATCGAAGACAAGCACGAAGGCACGAAGGCTTGCGGTTCAGGTATACGTAAGGACCTTAATCTAACTACCAGTATCCCTCGTGCTCAGATGTCCGGAATTTGGGACTGACCCAGGCTAGACTGGCCTCCCAGAAAGTTGTTGACTCAAATGCTCTCAACCCCTGAGGGCCAAACAGTGAACAGACGAGGAACAGCAAGGACGGAAATAAAGTAGTGGCATATAATCCTGGGAACCGTTCTGCTGACTGTCCTGGTCGTGTTGAGAAATCACTTTCATCAGGAAGTTGAGGGCCACGGGCTGCAGCTGGACTGGGATGTTTTGGATGCTGCCCCCACTCATTAACAGCTGCATAATAATGTGTTGTAATAGAACTAGATACGGCCCTTTGTGACTCCTGCTGTTGACTGTTAATGGGTGGGCAGGACCCAAGGGATGTCCTATGTTTTTGCTTAGGGTTCGTGCCTTTGGATCCTCCGACTCCTCCCTTTCGCGCAAGGTTCAAGCTGCATTCACATGAATCTGCTAACCCACAGCGACTCATCCCATCCATTGATAGGACTTCCAGGTCTCACAACGGGGATCTGTTTTAAACGCCTCTTGTGCAGGCGCATGTGGGCCATGCAGCAGCGGAGGCAGAACCTCCTCCCGCTTGACCAGCTTGTTCAGACAGTCCATGTCCGGTGTGTTGTATTCGATCTAAGAACTAGATGTGGCATAGTTTCATATAGTTTGTAGGGTGCTGGCAGCTCATTGGCTGTGTGGTGAGGGTTGCAAGTATCATACTTTTCTTACTCATGGCAAGGGCCCGAATGAGTTGCACATGCGCACATGGGAGGCATCCGGATGTTTGAGCATTTCTTAGTTCAAGTGATGTCTTGCTATGCTCACTAAGGTCTCCCAATGACGAGGCTTGTGCTGTAAGTGCATGCCGGCAATACGCATCTTTCAGGCTCAGAAAGCCAAATGTGCAGTAGACATGTTTGAGTTGCCAGCAAGTTTCCCCTCATGGGGTTGAGTGCTGCTGGGCGGCATTTGAGTTTTCAATGAAGATGTTACTTTGCTGGATACAATGCCAAGCTCCTTGCGAGTTTGTATAAACGTCATTTAATGAGAAAAGCCCATTTTGAGGGCTGGCAGCATTATGTAAAATGGCTCCCGCATATGGCCTACCTAACTTATACCTTGGGACCACTTATGGTAAAGTATCCCAAGTTCACGCAGGATTTAGAATATCTCAATCGGTTCCTACTTTCGGTAACTCCCCACATCCGGGCAGGTTTTTGCTTCTGTCACGGGCAGATGCCCGCTCGCACTGATGCCCAACTGGGTTGCTCTTATTCTAAGAAGCTTAATTAAAGTTATTGTGCTGGGGAAACCCTATCATTTACTAGATACCCATTATGGTAACTTAAACCCTGAACCCTAAACCCCATATACCCCATATACCCCATATATATCTTATCTATACCCCTATTAGTTACTATATATACCCATTATTGTAACTTAATTTGAGTTCCTTAACAGCAACCTAAGGTCTGGCAGGAGAAGCAAGTTGAGTTCTTCGAGGTGGAGGGTTCACTTCACTGTCAGTTCTGCCGCAGGGTTTGGGGTGAAGGGTTTAGGGTTTAGTGTGATTTATGTGCCCCCCCTACCCAGTAATATTGCCTATACGGGATAATAAGGCTTGTTTTAGAAGGGTCCTCTCATATGCCTAATATACCACTTTTACAGGGTGGGGGTTCCTCCTGACGTGTGATGGTGAAGCATCAACGCAAGTTTAGTGGCCGTGAAGGGGTTTCAACACTGCCTGGGTCTATGAAGCCCACGTGCTTTAGGGGCAAAGCCCGCATATAGACAACAGGATACAAGAGCTGACAGGCTGTGACAATCAGAGATATTGTACCTTGTGATCCTTGCATGCCTTATTACATATGGATAGATGCGTTTCTGGCCTGTAGAATGTAGGCCCAAGTCCAGAATCAGCCTTAAACCATAAACCCGAAACTAAACCCTGAACCCTAAACCCTATATAACCCGTTAAAGTAGTTTCCATTTTCTTTTCACTATCCTCATATATTCCCAATAGAACCCGAATATCATCCCAATGGGTAACCCTAAACCCTAAACCCTAAACTGCTGCAGGCCTCGGCCACCATGGACAAGGACATCCGGTCACTTTCAGCTCCGGCTACAGGTGCCGAGCATTCTTCTGGGTTGCTGTTCAGGAACTTAAATCAAGTCACCATAATATGGGTATGTAGAGTTTAGGGTTCATGCATGCAGTCTGGGAAGGTTTAAGCTAACATAATATGGGCAATTGTTGTTTGATAGTGTTTCCTTAAATCTAGAATCTAGTAACTTAATTAAAGTTCTCTAACAGCAACCCATTTTTTCTACTATTTGGCTTTCATTTCAGTAGAGAACCCCTAACCCTAAACCCTCAACCGCGTACCCGAGGATCCAAGAATGATCCCTTAGTCATGCTCAGCCCGTAGAACCTGTCCTAAGTCTTCAACTAAGCCATAGACTAAACTCCTTAAAGGGGGTTCTACAAGAGATAATAGAGGGGACTACTATAAGGGTTATTAAGGGGGATACTAGGATATTGGGTTATATGAACGGAGCAGCAATACCAAAAGCTGAAACGCGGTAGGCCTGCTGTGGATGGGTTCCTAGAGGGTTTAGGGTTTAGGGTTATGTGGGATCATAGTTCAACCCCGTCCCCCCCAATCCTGGAAGCCTGCTCTTTTGTTCCAAGATGCAAGCGATGCGCAAAAGCATACATTTTTTGAATGACGTTTTGATAGAACCACTATTTTCGCAGATATCCTCATCTGTCCTAATATGTCTTGCATAATAAACATGTACACAGCTACATGTATAGTTGTATCCACGCATAGAAACATGTGTAAATACACCTGGTCAGCACGAGAAACATCGATTTAGCCTGGTCAGGTGACCTTCCCTTTGGTGTGCTGGCCTGTTGGACGCCGCCAGCTGAACAATTAGGGTTTAAGGTCTAGGATATTAGGGTTTAAGGTTTAGGATATTAGGATTTAAGGTTTAGGATAGTAGGGTTAAGGTTCATTTTTTTTCCGGAAGTTCATGGAAAGCCTGAGGTGGGGTGGTAGGAGGATGATTGTGACCGGGACATTGGGCAGTCAGATTACATGTGAGAAGGCTTGTACAAAGACCATTGACGATGCAGAAAGATATTTCAGCCGATCCTATCGGGCTTCTTGTAGTAGTTTTGATCTGGCTAGGAAGGGTTTATGAGAGAGCGTATATTCAGACTTTCACCTGAACCTTTGAATTTCTATGTGCACCCCAGCCCATAGCAGGACTGCATGGGTCTTGCGCTGGAGGACTTTGGATATCAAGGGTGTGTCTTTTGGACCACATGTGTTAGCCATAAGGTTTCCCACAGCAAGTGGTAGCAAGCTTCTCACCCAAGCAGTTTGGAAGTAGCATGCTGAATGTTTCATTGCATCATATAGGAGTCTTCCAGGGTTAGGAAGGGCTCATTCGACGTACCCCAGAAAGAGAAATTGTGGTTGCAGGGGGGGAGGAAGGGGTGTATGTCACGGCGAAGCAAAACATCGAGGTAGGCTTGGAAGTATGGTGCCAAATTGGCTTCAGGATTTGAGGCTTTCCGTTTCTCTGCGCATGTATGGGTGTTGCTGTGTCTTGCGGAGCAGCACACGTCTGTCTCTACATATGCACTAATTGACCATTCATCCTCCCCTGAACGGTACACCCTTAAACCCCAACCCTAAACCCCAGTCTTCATGAGCAGGCTCCAGGCGCCGAGGACTCTTCTGGGCAATTATCAAATGTTGCTATTGGAACTGATTTGCCCAGGTCAACTTACTGGTGGCTAGTAGGGAAGAAGGGAATGTAATCCTGTATAATCAATCCCTACGAAATGTATTCCCTCATTTCCAACCCAAAGCACTAAACCCTAAACCCTGTAATGTATCCCCTTGTTCCCTACTAACTCCCAGTAAGTCAATGGGATGTAGCCAGTGCGAAGCCCAAGGCACTAAGTCCTTCACCTGCCTTCCCTGCAGGGCCATGCACATGATCCTTTGCCCTCTATTATACCCCTATACAACCCTATATGTCTTTCTGCATTCCCGACATAAGCCCATATCAGCCAAAAACTGGAGGCTGATAGCAGCTTGCATTGTTGCAGCCGTCATTGCGCGACTCATTCAGTTGTGCAATGCGCCATCCGGCAGCCCCTTGGCCGTTCAAGCTGTGGGTCCTGCTTTGGTTCAGAAATTGTCTGAGCAAGGCCTCTTTTTTGCGGGGAAACAGAAATCGCAGACCCATTCCACCATGGGCTATTAGACCTTAAGGGTACCTCAATCTAGCCTTTATAGGGTCCTCATGGGAAATTTTAGGGTCTAATAGCCCATAATGGTTTTGCAGCAAGGCGAAAGCTTGCCGAGACAAGCAGCCAAGCGGCGTACGCCGAGCGAAGATACGTCGCAGGCGATGGATAGCATAGTGCCGGAAGATATCTCGAAGGACCTTGACACAGGGGTTGTTTAGGGGATGTATAGGGGTTGTATTGGGATAATGGAAAAAATGGAAGCAACTGACTCATTGGTTTGTGCCCGCTTGGCTAGCTCCTGGTTTGGTTTCTGCAGAGGGTTTAGGGTTTAGGGTCTGGGGCCAGCAGGAAAATCCCGTGTCACATTGCTGTTTGGGATTGTAGCTTCTCGTAAATGGCATGAAGGCCTGCCCTGCCCAAGATGCAAAGACCCTACTTGCTGGGGTATCTCCAAGAATTGAGAATCAATGGAGAGTCAAGTTGAAAAAGCATGGAACATCAGATTGAAACCGCTCGTGTGTGTTGCCGCAAATGGGGATGTTTTCCCAGAAAGTGAATCCGTGGAATCTGACACTTAAGTTTCATGCCCTAGTCTACCGGTAATTGGCATCTGCATGGCTGAGCTATCTGGGTCCTTTAATTTCTCCGAATCTCTGCTGAAGGTACATCTCACAGTCAGGAGGAACACAGCCACACCCCCACGACAGGGATGTGAAAGCCTCTGTCCTGGGATTCGCTTTTGCCGTTGCCATGTGAGCCGTCTTGTACTTGTCGGGCGCCGTTGCACGCTCTAACCTGCCTCAGGTGATTTGTTTGGCACGCTTTGGTATGCGTGCTTGCTGCCACTGCTTGTACGATTGCCACGGAAACTTTACACTTTTGCATTTGCCACGTGCCAACACCAGTATAGCACCAAATCAGACCGTTAGATTCTCCATTGTACTACCCTAAACCCTTGCGCTGGTGTCAAGTCATGCAGATGGCAAACTCCTAAATAGTCTTCTGCCAGGGTTTCTTGCAGGACTATGTGGAAGTCACCTTGGAGCGATCTCGAGGTGACCCGATGCTTCGTGCGAAGCCGCTATTGTTTTTTCCAGCACAAGGAGCAGAACACGTCCTGATTTCCCCCAAAAGCAGGATGCATCTTCATCTGGAATATGGCGCACGTAACTTTCGTGAGCTCAATGCCATCTTGAAACCTGTAAAGCACGCATGAGTAATCTTGTGTGTGCTTTTGGTCCTTCCTGAAGCCATCCATAGTTTTCATGTCAAAATGTTCTCATACTGCCGTATCTTCTGGTTCAATCTTTGTGCTCCCCTTTGGAACTGTCTGTCGCCGGGGGCAAGAGCGATTACAAGGGGATTTTGTCAGGATTCTATGGGGATTCCAGTCCGTATGGTACAACAATGGCATTTCTAAACCTTGATTTTTTTTCAGCAAGGACTCTTGAAAGAATGCCGGTCTTTGCCGAAAAGCCCTAAAACCCAAACCCTAAATCCTGAAGCCTAAGCACCCCAAGCCCTAATCCAAGATGTGCCAGGTCAGTCTTGGGGCCTCGTTTGGCACGTCCAAGCCTACGAGTCGGAGAGGCACCCGGCCTACTGTTCCGTCAACCCTAGGGTTTTAGGCTTAAGGGGTTTAGGGTTTGGGGTTTAGGGTTCAGGGTTTGGGGTTTAGAGATTTTCAGGGTTTGGGGTTTAGAGATTTCAGGGTTTAGGGTTTAGAGATTTTCAGGGTTAGGGCTTGGCGTTTTTTCAGGGTTTACATTCTGCCTGGGTATGAGCCCAGATTCTAAAAGGGGAATCACAGTTCAGGGCGGGGTTGGTAGCGCCTTTTGGCGCTTGTAGGTTCTGGGTTATCCATCTATCAAGTATGGGCATGACTATGAAGGCCATGCTGGTAACTCTACTTCTCATTGCTGGAAAGCCTACAGCCCTAAACCCTAAGCCCAAGGTGGACCTCCAAAATGCATTGTTTCAAACGTCCAAGCGATACGCTTTCTCGAGGTAAGCGCCATGATGTCCTGCAGGTCCAAGGTTTTCATTCGAGCAATAGTCTAAAATCCTGAAAGGGGTTATTTAAGGGTGCATCATAGAGTTGTTAAGGAGGATGCTGGGATAGCGGTTTTTAAGGGGGATACAAGGAGTTTAGACTATAGCTCATCTGAAGCTGGGAACATGCCATCTTCTAAGGGTTGGCCATTTGAAGGACTACTTCTGGGGCTTCCTGGGGCGTGTGCATCTCCGTATTTCAGCATCCTGAGGTTTCCCTTGCAAGGCAGCCCAAAGCCCGTTTGTCCTTCAGCCGAGGTTTCTGATCGCGGGCCTGGAGCCAAAGTCTCCAGCAGGCCTGCTTAAGGACCGTCAGGCACAAGGCGGGGCATCGGTGCACACCGCTCTGGGGTTGAAGTGTGAGTTTTTGGTTTCCCAAGCCTGCTGCTCTTTGCGACAGTCCCGCGAGGCCTGCGCCCGCTCCGGCGAGGTGATGAGTTAGTGAGCGTGAATGGGACATGCTACTTTCAATCTATGCGCCGTCAGCTGGAGCGGGCACAGAAGGTTCGCCTTCAGTTTCTGAAGGCAGATGTTGTTATGCCCCTGGAGTGCGACAGCTGTGAGAGTCCCACAGCGACCACCAAGCCTGACCCAGAAACATCCCTGGATGGCTCAACAGGAAGCCCTAGCTCCCAGAGCCAACCAAGCCAAGCAGTTCCTCCAATTTGTGAGATGGTACGACCCGTACAACCCAGCTCACCCACAGAAGTCGAGGTAGCAGAGGTTGCAGGCATGCAGTGCTCCACTGCCTTTTGCGCTGTTGAGCATAGCCTGCCAGCACTTCCAGCTCCAGACAACATCCCAGAGGGCATGCCTGAGAGCTCCCCGCCACTTGCGCCAGCAACGGTGCGAGGGCGTGACATAGCCGTGAAAAGGGCTGATGTTCCCAACTGGTGCAAAGAGAAGAGGAAGTCTCGTCGACATGCCTCTGCAGGCGAGGAGGAAGGCCGCTTGTCCAGCGGTTCTGGGTCCGGCTCAGAGCAGGTGTCCGGTGAAAGCAAGTGCCCATCCACAGATTGGGAGTACATGATGGACAACAGACCTGGCAGCTTGGTACATGCAGATCTCCTGGCACCCCGTGAGCCGCTTAGCGTGAGCCACAGCAGTGCCAGCAATGTAGTGATAGTGGCAGGCTCTCAGGCCGTGGCCTTGCAAACCGCCAGCGCCCTGGGCACTGTAGTGGGAGGGGGCGTCCTCCATGGACAGCAACTTCCGCTTTTGCCTTCTTCCCATTCTTCCCAGGTTCCTGTTCCTCCGCGCATCTTGCAGGCCCCTGCAGAAGCCTCGGGCCTGCCAGTCGGGCCCCATGTGCCCTGTGGCTCCCAGATGCCCCTCTCCTTGCATGAGGATTATGTCCAGGCTGGTTTCCAGCACCTGCAATGCATGAGTATGAGTGGACGGGTCCCAATGACGTCAACCTTCCCTGAACCCCCTGATGTTAGATCCAATTGGCATGATTGCTCAGCATGGCTTGGCCAGCCGCACAGTCAAGCGCCTGATCTTCCGCCTGCACCGCAGCCTGAGCCCGAAGTCAGGCCCAGCACAGCTGCAGTGCGATCGGGAAGTGCACCTCCGAGATTGTGTTCCTTGGAGAATTCTGAGCAGCCAAAGCTCGCAAAGAAGCGGACCTACAGGTCCGGGAAGCGCATCAGGGCCAAGCGCACACGAGCGGCAGTTCGGGCAATGCAGGACGGACAGAGGGCAAATGAGAGTCATGAAGCACCACAGGTTCCTCAGGCTGAAGCAGATGCAACTGCAAAGCGCTCGCGCGCTGGCAGCGCCCCTGCAGCAGTGCGGAATCTGGAGCGTCCTGTGAATGACAAAGTTGAGGAGGGCTTGGCCGACAAGGGCGGCAAGCCACGCAGGCGAGCGGGCAAGAAGGTCCGGCAGCGCATGGAACATGCTATCGCCCGCCGGCGTGAGCAAGTCCTCATGGCTGAAGCAGCTGAGAATTGCAGGATGGTGTCAGATGATGAGCCTGAGCCCAAAGAAGCTTTGGCGGACACCAAGCTGCGGCCAGTTGCCAAGCCTGCCCCTCACTCGCGACCCTCTCAGGTGGCAACTTGCCATAAGCGTGCAGACTCGCCAACGTCGACCGTTTCGACGTGCACCACAGCAGCAGCAACCATGGTGTCGGGAGTCTCCACAGCAGCGTCCACAGGCGTGTGGAGCGTGCGTGCATGAGACTTGCTTAAGAATTCTGCCTTGATAGACTCGCACACCGCCAGGTTCTGAACGAGTTCCGGCTCGACGTTCCTTCTATGCCCGCAAGCTCCACGATGCGCCCTTGCCCACAATGCAGGAGGGCCGACGAGTGCCTGCCGCGGAGGATCCAGCAGCTTGCCTGAGAAGTCATGCAAGATCGTGCGTCTTGCGTTGGTTTCCACTTTTGCCAGTTTCTCAGGTGCACTACAATGCATCAACATACATGTTGGGAAAGCCGACAGCGCCAAAATCTGCTGAATGCTTGCAACCACTTATGCACCACACGGGTCAAGCTTGAGGTGCGAGTTTGTATATTTGTGTGGTACACAGACTTCTCGTGCATACGCTAAGAAGTGCTATAGCATTTGCTTTTTCCCTCTACAAGGCCCTTTCGCGGGTGGCTTTGGCGCAGCCACTGCGCACACAGCGGAGGACCTGTGGCATCCTGTATCAATAAATCCAACGCTCTACTTGTAGTTTCCTTGGCAAGCGCAGCTCTTGGATGCTGTGGCACGCAGTGTTTCTGGACAACATGACCTGATTAGGAATGTGCGCCTAAGAGACTCCACAGCAGCACCTTGAATCTCACCGTAGGACTTCGCGGTCGCGAGGGGCGCAGAAGCCGCTGGAGCCAGAAGGTTCAGGACAGGGATGAAGGAGTTTTTCTTGGTTAGAGGGCAAGTCCTAACAGAGTACTTCCACATGGCAATGCCTTTACGACGGCTACAGCTACAGTTAAGATAAGGAGGGGACAAGTTCTCTCTCAGAAGTCATCAGATTGCGCAGCCAAGCAGACAGGGGGGCGTGAACAATCACAATGATCTTTCTTCTTCAACGTGTTAAACTCTTGTCTTTTGGATCCCGCGGAGTGCCGAAGAGGATGCCCGCATCTCATAGTTTCACCAAGAAGGGCTTCACCCCCAGAATGACCTATCATTCTGAGACCCCCATCTGCAGAATGCTATTTCGAGACCTGGCGAGAGCTAATGCAGCCGTGGATTCTCTATACAACCCATCATCTTCCCACAGTACCGCATCTTTCTCCCCTCTAAGATCGCAGGGCATCAGTTGGGTACTGCCCCCACTCATTAATAGTTGGATATTTATTTCAGGACTATATATATATGTATATGCAGAGCCCTAAACATGACCCCTAGTATAGACTGCTCGTGGGTGGGGGCAGGACCCAATATTAAAGGACCATTTGGGAATCTGCTTTGGCCCTGAGGAGCCGTGGAGCAGGTCGTGGGGCAGCGTGTTTTGCTCACAGGACTCGTGCATGCGCCGAGCCCCTGCCGCAAGAAGAAGTTGAGAGCTCTATGAAGACTCCTTTTCCCCTACCATTGCAAGAGCCCGCTTGTATGAATGAATGTGAGCATGCATACACATGTATGCAAAAATATATATATATATATATATCTATGCAATGTCTATAGAGAGTTAGAAGTTCTTCGTCGTCCCACCTTGTCTCATCTCCCTCTCTTTTTTGTTCTCTTCTTCCGAGCTCAGGCACTTCAATGGCCATTGGGGTCATGTGGACGGCTTTGATGCGGAGCAGCAGCGGTTTGTCGTGCGTGTTTTCCTCGGCCCGCCCGGGACGCCACCCACTGTCGCCAGCTGTCCGCACAGTTTGGGGAGGGTACAGCCTAAATCCTAGACCCTGTGCATCTTATCATATCAGTTCGCAATTTGAAACTTCACAAGAATCATTCCCTTACGCTGCTGTGTGGCCATGCAAGTGGCAAAACATACCGCAAGCATCCAGATACGTACATATATGTATATATATGTATGTACATATTATTCACGTATATATATATATATACATATATGGTCACCCCCCCCCTTGATCCACACTTGCGTTTCTTCCTGTTCTCCTTGTCCTATGAATGGAGTCATCAAGGCATGTG